AAACGCCACCAAGTAATATTGCTGTACAACACTGTGTGATTTATCAAAATAAAATCGTATCCATAATGGAGTTATACTCTACCACAGTGCCCAAATTTTATACTTATGTCAAAAATACTTATCTTATGTGTCTCCTAATTGTTTCCTTTTTGTCTTCCTCATTGCAGGTTGTCAGTCTCCGTAGACATTCTACTAGATGTCGTCATACATAGTGTCTGCAAGCAGTCTTTCAATACATCTACCTCCCGCAAAGTTATTGTTACGATGCCTTTAAATCATTTACACTTGGCCGTAATACAATTAGTGTGCTAATATTACTGATGCAATGACATGCAAGACTTGTACATGTTACTGTGAAGTTAGCTTGTAATAACATTCCCTCCATAGTAAATAGAATGCTTGTGATAACAATTCGTCATTATCTTTTCATTGTGTTGATAGTTGCGTATATATTAGAAAAAAGCTAACCTTGTCGTATCAGTTCTCTAAATTACAATCACTAAGTGCCCATACCTCTGCTGAATACCAAGTGCTACTCGTGGCCCATGAAATACTTATTACTGCATTCGGAAATAACAGTCAAACTATTATTACATGGAGTAGTGAGACAGAAGGCGTATGAAATTTAGATATTAGTGTGTATCTGAAGTTAACGACACAATATATATGTGGATTTTTCATTTCCAAACTAGAGAATTTTATAGGGTAATGTAGGAGTGAGCGCAATGAGTTAATAATGTATTCTTTACTGCATACATCTTGTATGAGTGAAATGCTTCTATTCAATTTTCGGCGAAGCTTCAATATCACCCTGCAGGGTTTCTTCAATGCACTCTCATAGGGAATAATACTTGGTACTGAGGAATCCAGCCAAAAGCATCTGTGACACAGTCGAATGACTTTTTCAACTAAAAGCCGCAATACTGATATTAAGTGTGATTTACCTGTAAACTGAGGGACTCTAGTGTAACACAGCACCATATCCCAGCAGGGTATTCTTTGTGTTTTACAGGTACAAGTAGAATTCATGGACTGAGCATTTGTTAAATATGGAGGCGACCCATTGAGTCACTTAGACGAAAGGCTGACGAAATGCGATACCTTACACACGCACTTTCAGATGTAGGCATGTGTCACTTCACATGAACTCTGGACCATATCGAGTAGGCATTCCTTTAAATTAATTATTGTTCGTATATGTGATGACTTGGTGCGTTTCCTAGTTTGCCTATAATTACGGAATGTACATTATATTAGGGAACACAAATGGATTTTGTGAAAACCAGTGGTGTTCCTTCTCTAGTCTTAATTGATGTCACATTGATTGACACGATTAAAGGAATAGATTGTAACGTGGTGTTTTCTGTAGCTGCGAAACGTAATTACCTAGTTTCGAATTGACATCATGCGTCTAATCCTATTAACCTATGTATATAGTTCTACCTTCACGAAACCTAGAAGTCAGGAGCAGACTCTCTTTGACAGATCTAGTTTTACTTTGTGACTAATTGGTGAGTCACCTGGTGTTGTGGTAGCAAAAAAACAACTCCAAACCTTAGTATTTTCTAGAAATGAACATATTTACTTACTTTGGCGACAATTTAATCTTAGGGATATTAACCTTTACTTAGTAATTTGGATCCGAAAGTAAACGCCATGTTACTAAGTTATTCAAAAGACAGAATGATGAGTGAAACAGTACTCGGATACTTATTCTAACGAAACCGAATAATGATAATCGTTTAGCCTACCAATATGCCGCTTACTTTCAGTCTTAATTCAAAGACAAATTTAATTGCTCACTAAATTAATAGTTCCAGAAGACTGCTCTACTCCTGTCTTCGAAATACTTTACCCGATCGTGTTTTACTTCAAAATATGTGTATACTGGCCAGCTGATGTTGCTTATCCAGTTACACTGTTTTTCAGTTACAATGTCCCATCTATTTCCTATCAAACGGAACATCCCTTAAACCATCAACGAGTTACCATCATTTCTAAATAAATAACCTTAACTATTCGCATGTAAACGATGCTATAAACTTTATCACTTACGTGATGTTTCAACTTTCGATTAATCAGTTTTCCCTTACATGAGCACCTGTTTCAATTTTAACGGATATTTCTAACCTTTGACTACTGAATTAGTACGTTTCGTTATATACCATCCATACGAAATATAGGTACTGATAATAATTACTGCTAACAGATTTATCACGAGAATGTACTCCATATTGACGACAATATTCCTCAGGGGCGGACGTATCTTCTAAACGCGCTACTCAATACAACACATGACCCTAACCCCATAACTCTGTAGCTCACAACATTCTATAAAGTTAGTAGTGACTATTAACAAGTAGAATGTCTATTTGAGGTATAGAGAATACATTTATTAGTGATTCGACACAAAATACAAAATCAACGGTACTGGAAACCACTTTCTTCAGCAACGAATCCCACGAGGTCACTGGAACTACAGATTATCTAAAAAAGAAAACAAGGGTTCACAGGATGTATACATGAATATAACTACCAATATAATATTAACGAGATAGCACAGTAAGAATTAATGAAAGTTTATATCGATGTGCGATTACATCAGTCACTATTTTTGACACAAGTGGATATTTAGACGAAGTAATAAGAAGACGTAATTTGTCTGAGTCGTGTAGTGTTGTATTTGTGCAACACATTTTGGACAATCTGGTCACGCATGGACTTGTTATAGGAATACATATGAGATTAATACAGTTAAAAGTCTAGAAAATAAATTTAGGTGGAATTAAAACCACATATTGGAGGTCAAAATAACAATGAAGATCACTAAACCAAATATCAGAGGTACTAGTACATCTACCCTGACTAGTATCAAAACGAAGTTTAACAAAGAAGGTTTCGTGTGATGACGAATAGTCTTGGAATTCACAAAAGTGGTTTAAACTTCCTAATCACACTTCGGCTTCCACAAACTTTAGGATGCAATCCAAACACGTTTTACAGATAGGTTTAAAAAATGTGCAAACGTCAGTTTTATGTCCTGTCCCTATAATATGTTTCGAAATAGAGGAGCTGGGACCCCATTAATAACTTCTGAAGATTCTGTTGCTTCTGGAGGCATTTAGGAATATGATGCGTAGCCCTTACTTGCAGAAATCGATGAGCCTTCCCTAAATGGATACAGCAACCACTTCTAAACCTTACGTCCATAGCTTTAAGAGATGTCGGACACTACTTCTACGTGGTTTTAAAATAATTTTGTGAATTAACTTCGAACAAGCGCGAATAATGTGGCGTCAGGACAATAACAAAAATCGGAAGTTTATGAAACCAAACTCACTAATAGGACAAAATGACGCACACGTCAGATGTCTTTACGTACCTGATCACGAGGATGGTATTGAAATCCACCAAGTTACTAAAATGTTGCAGTGTGCATTTAACTCATTTAAAAATTTTGGCAGAAAACACTGAATGTTGAAAGTGATCGTAAAACATATTACAGTTTCTTCCCATTTGTGAACACTAATTTTCGCTTGTTTCTATGCATTCCATTGATTTTCAGCTATCAAAACAGCACACAAAAGTGCGAAAGGATGCAAAATTTGATATCAACCATATTCTTCGGTTCCTGCAGCAGTAATAGGTACTGCACAAATGCTGATAGGGAAATTTGAGACCGAGTACAAGTTTCCGCCAATCTGCAAAGAAATTTATCGAATGACAGTCGTTGAAATGTACGCGAAGCTTACTCGGTATGCCAAAAATCACTGCATGAACCATGTATTTAAGCGTCCTGTCACACAAGAAATAAGTAAATGCTCAAGAACAATATCGAACAATAATTTTCATATAAATTCATCCAACAAGAGCAAAATAAGCACCGAGATCGCGTCTACTGTATTTGCTGGACGACTAGCTCCAACTCGAATCAACGAAACCGCGCAAATGTCGTCAAGGTTAAGCCAGAGGCGCCACTTCAAATAGGGGATATGACTTATCAACGCCCATGAAGAACAGCAGAGAAGAGGAGTCCTTGCACTTTCCAGCATATTCTGATGTTATTAGTGTGCTAAGAGCTGGCTGCAAACCAAAATTGTAGACAGAAATTCACGTCAACGTTACGTCCCGCATAGGTGTCATAAGAAAAACAATAACAGAGCTTAACCTTGAGTAACTCACCAACCAGTTACAGCAGTCTTAATGCCTGCAAATAGGATTCGCAGTTATATGGTTTAACTTTCTGAAAAACGGTCACAAGCAGTACAGGATAATTTTTAGCAAGAAAACAACCAATCAGAAGACGTTTTGTCTCTGAAAACAATAACGCCAATATTGATGCGCAAAAAACCTATAAATATCCGTTGATTTTTTCATTAAAAGATCTGTTGCATGGTCTTTGTCTCCTGTTGTTACGTCAGTGCCTTAAGATATTCGAAAAAGAACAGTTATGAGACTTATGGCTTACAAAGAAAACAGCAGCCTATTATATAACTAACTGTGCCATTTTGTGAAAGGCCTTATGTATGCGAAAAACCGACTGCGAACGAAGGCTGGGAGAAAGTTACTGACAATACAAGACATTGACGTTTTCTTCACCTGACATAACTGTGACCGTGGAAATAAAACGTTTTCGGATCAGGTGGTCCTGCTTCACTGGGTCACAAAATTTCTAGTAGTTAAAATACCGAGAGTCAGAATCGGTTCGGTCCTCCTTTTACATATTCAACTTACTTACCAACGAGTTACCTGAACTCACCAAGTCACTCATGATTCCTAGTCCAGATGACGTAACTATGGAGGAAAGTGTGATGTGAACGACACAGGTTTATTCAGCAAGCCGATACGAGGCAGCTTTTCTATTGGTTCCAGCATTAAATTATCCTCATCAGTGTAGCCATGTGTACCACTAAGAACATGAGACACGAGAAAGACTAATGGTGTGTGGGAATACTACAGTCTCACACAGATACAGATGTCATGATGAGGCAACACATAGGGTAATGTTCACTAATTTGTGGACATATCTGACGGGACCAAAAGTATTAAATTGAATCCAGACATGCCGCTACTTTCTGATACATGACTCATGTATTCGAAGAAAAGTTGAGTAAGATACACAAATGAAGAACTCCTAGATAGTCCATGAATTCCCTACCCAAGCAGTATTATTCTTTCAGTCAGTGCTAGGATGCATCCATCCACAACAGTTCTACCATCTACACTATATTGTATATTAGTTTGTTTTATCTCAGTAATACATTTCCCTGTTAGGTCGCCTACCTTTCAAATATTTCTGCGAAATGTCTAGTTTGACGTCAAACGTTTGTGCCACAGTATGTATTGTGTTTCTAAGTGGTGTCTTTTTCAGATAAGAAAGCATATACCATTAATTAAATTCCGGAGTCAGCTGAAAAATGCCATAGGCATGATATTTTATCAGATTTAATGTGTTTAACGTGTTCAGGAAAATCAGTTGATACCAATGTTCATGCAAGTACATCAACATTTGTTGTGAAATCCTCTGTACCACGTGAGGCGGCTGTAGAACTGTCTGCAATTAATCCGAAGTTCAGAAGGAAAATGATGACAGAGGAAGAGGTAGCATTCTATGAGGTAATTTCGCTGTTATCATCAACATCTCCTAGAGAGGATTTTTCTGTGATTGATTTAGTGTTTCATTGTAGTTAGTTTGTAATTTTAGACAATAAAGTTTCGAGTTCTAGCATGACTGGTTTTGTGACTAAAGTTTTATTTGGTACATATGGGCCCTTATATTTGGTTGTGTAGTACATGTTCGCTCGGTGGGATTTCTCTACTGTAGTCTAACCGCTATCCATATGAAATTGTGAGTGTTGTAGATTGTTCGCCGTATCGTGAAACTGTTGTAGTTTATATGGTTGGAGATACATTGATATCAGATTCACCTTATAAGGAAAGAAGACTATTGTTGCCTATGTTGATCCTTGCGAAATGTCTGCATATATCTAGTTTCTCTTTGAAAGCGTTCACCAATGGAGCTGTTACTGCTGAATCTGGCAAGGCGTTCCAGTCGTCGACCACTCTGTGAGAGAATCTAAATACCACACTTAATTTGTTCGACCTCGGTTTGAGAACCTTCGTGTGATGACATCGTAAATGTAACCTAGAGGGAGAGAAAAGGTTTGAAAGGTCGATCCCTAAATCACCCTTTAATATATGGTATGCCTAAATTAAGTCTGCTATCTTCCTTCGGTCTGATAATGGGAAGAGATTTAAACGCTGCATCCTCTTACTATAGGGATGGTGTGAGATACCACTAACTAATTTGGTACCTACCCTATCTACTCTTTCCAGGATATGTGCCTCCTTTTTGAAGCATGAAATCGCCGCTTGTATGCAGTATTCTAGATGAGGTTTGATATATGTTGCATAGAGTACTTGGAACATACCATCCTCTAATCGTTTGTAAGCCCTTCGAAGTGCCCATAGCATTCAAAAAGCCTTGACTGCGGCTCCATTACAATTTGTAGTTGTTGTTTTTAAGTCATGGCTTACAATAATTCCTAAGTCCTTTTGTCCCCTAACATCTGACAGTTCTGTGTCCCCCAGGGAGTACGACGTGTAAGACTTCTAACCTAGGTGCATTCCCCCACTTTTCTTGGAATTAGCTTCCAGAGGTAAGTCCGTTCAGCTAATTTATCTAGATCGTTTTGTAGTACCAGCGTATCATAGTTATTATTTATGGTTTTCCATATCATTAAATCTTCCGCAAATAATAAGGAAGATGAGGTAAGAATTTTCAGCAGTTCATTTACGTATAATAGAAATAGCAGGAGGCCAAGTACAGTTCCCTGAGGTACTCAACGTAGTACTGCTTTCCACCCTGACAGTACACGATTAACCCTTACCTTCTGACTTCTATCCATCAGGTACTCTCTAAACCACTCACGTAGCATTGCTCTAATCTCAAACGTTTGAGTTTACTAAGAAGACCTGGATGGGATACCTTATCGAATGCTCTACTAAGATCGATAAAGACAACGTCCTGCAGATGGTTCTTATCCATGGCTTCAACCCAATCTTTCCTAGCTAAAAGTAAGTGTCAGGCGGGATCGTCCTGGTCGGAATCCATGCTGTTCCACTGCCAGTAAGCCATGTTTCCCCATGTGAGCTAAGAGCTGATCCCTTATGAGTTTTTCTAACACTTGCTATAATGCAGGTCAGACTTACCGACCGGTAGTTGGATAGTAACTGCCTGTTCACCTCTTTGGAGATGGAACTTATAATGTCATCCTTCCAGTCCGTGAATAGCTTAGTCTGGGTCAGAGACATTTGAAAAATCACCGTAATTGGAATGTGCATTATATCCGCCTAGGAGATTAGCAGTCTAGGGTGAAATCCGTCAGATCCAGGTGTTTTACTTGGCTTCATTTTAGACAATAGTTTGATAACCACTGCATCCTCTACCACAATTATGGGCATTTTAGTGGCTACATCAGTGACCTCGCTACACCCCTGAGTGGTACCATTAGGCGAGAAAACATTGCAAAAGTATTCCCAGAGCTTTTCAGCTTTTGTTTCGTCTGACTCGGCATCCTCTCCAGTATTGCTTATGAGGGACGTTATATCACTGCTAGTTTTAGTCCTACATTTGATATACTAGTACAGTCTTTTGGATAATGCACACAGTCCAGTGCTAACTGTCTCTCATACACCATACGACTTGTTATTCTTATACTTAGAAAGGTTTCGAATTTTGCTGTATTCCATCCGAAACTTATCCTTCCGAGACACAGCAACCCAGTCCCATAAGTTCTTTCGTTTTCTCAGTAACCTTATTTCATTACTAATCCAAAGTGGTTTATGTGATAGTTTTCGAGGTGTAGACCAAGGTACAAAGCACACAGTGACGCAATCTAGTGTATTCCTAGATCTCATCCAAGCCTCCTGGACAGTCTGGTGTGTATCAACAGACCAGTCAGCTAGGGTTGCTGCATTTCGGACTGCAGGTATATTCGCTTTCCAAATGTTTGGACGAGCAGCTGTTGACTTACGTATGACAGCGTGATTCCTAAACGTGAAACTGATAACTATATGGTCACTACTGCCTAGCGGCGACAGGCATTTAGTGTCACCAACATCCTCCTTCTGCTGTGTTAGCACCAAGTTTAGCGTCGACGGATCATGTTCAGGATGGTATCGTATTGGTGCATCTATATGCTGCATAAGTGCACATTCAAGCGCTGTCAGTATGAGTTCCCTGTTGAAACAAGTGTACAAGGTAGTTCATGTTAATTCCTCCTAATTAATATGTGGGACATTAAAGTTACCTACTATTAGACACCTATTTCTAATATTCCACGTCCTGAGGTGATTTAGTACGAAATCCTGAGCTTGGCTGGTAGGACTTCTGTAAATAACTCCAATTGTCACGGTGCCCTTGTTCAAGTTAATGAGAAAGCTTGCGGCTTCACTAGTGCCGCTATCATGAGCTTCTGACAAAGTTGTCCTAATTTCTATTTCATCCCGGATTTATAGGGCAACCCCACCACCTTTCCAACTAATTACTCTGTCTTCTCTAGTGCAGATGTACCCAGGTATGAGTGGAGTTAAGTCTACCCCCACTAACAATCATGTCTCAGTGATATCAATTACATCAGGTTGTAGTCCTTCAGACAACACTTCTAGTTCATGAAGCTTATTTCTAAGACTACGCGCGTTCGTATAGCATACTGAGAGACATATGTATTCACTTGACTTATGAACAGAGGTCTGGGCAACATAGGTTTCCGAGACCTCACTACCCGAAAACCAAAAAGTTTGAAGTATTTCTCGCCTTCTTCTATTGGGGCCTTTAATTCAGCCACAGCATCTCTTCTCTTAATTTTATCATCCAGAAGCCAATCAGGCCTAATTGTCATCTTTTTGTCCTTGATCTTGAATGCCTTGCTAAGAATAATGCTTTTCTTCATCTCGTTCCCGAGTGCTATCTTTAGCAGTCGTGGGGAACTTTCCGTTGCATCGGCATTTCGTCTACCGATTCTGAAGACTTTTCTTGTGTGAACTTCATTTGTTTTTTTCAGGAAGTACTTCACTAATGATGGAGCTAACAACCTCGAGATCATCAGCATGTCGAGCAGCTGGATCTAATTTCTTTGATTCCTTAAAGTTCCAAATTACGATACTGTAATTTGAGTCCGAAGATTTCGCAATGGCATTAGTGTTGACTGCCGTTGAGACCTTATCACTAAACCCAGTCTTTTTCGCTTTCATGTAGTTCTTCGGCTTCCTATTTTTCGGCACCAACTAAGTGGAATTACTTACTTCCACTTTGCTCTTGCTAAAGTTGAAAGCCATGCGTTCACCAGACACGGAACGCTTCGTTGTTGTAGTATCACCCGGTGGTCTAACAAAGTTGGCACTGCTTGCCCTCTTAGATTTTTGGGACGTTTCGCGTGCTGTTGCTAACTTTTGGGCGTATATATATATACCTAAATACAGAGATATAAAAACCACACAAAAAACAATACTTCAGCTAATTAAACCCGTTAAAGTAAACCAAAAAGTGTCTGATGCGACTTATACAACAAGAGCAGAAATTACTTCATGATGTAAAAACGCCACTCTCTTTTTCAACTTCCGATTATCCGCAGATCTCATTCGACAACAATTTTTGTGTAAGATTTGTTTATCCCGTATTTTGCGGTCATTAAACCTGGTAGATAAAATGAGAAGCTGAAGAATTCTTCAGTTTCCTTTTTCAAATGGTCTAGATTGTGCGATATCATCAGTGCATTTTCATAGTTTTATAGTACATAGAGGTTCATTTTGATCGAGGAGACTCAGTCGTCTGATATTGTTTCTGGTCACTAATGATTTAATTTGGATAACAAACAACATCAGCAGGTGAGAGAGACGCTAATAAGGCAACACTGATTAAAATGATGCTCCAGGGTTTCGTTGATTCGTGAAAGTCAGATCTCAGACATATCACGAAACCGACTTTTAGTTGTTAGGATTGGACAAAGGTTTTTTCCTGTTGGGGTTTCACTATGCCGTTGGTAATATCCATGATGAATCTGTTAGTAACTATGCAACTACTCACGATACACGAAGTTTGGAGGACGCAAAACAATTCGTGTGTGAAGTGATTTCTCCACAGTAGAATTTTATACACTAACGCCGACTAAGTAGAGGGCTTAAAAACGGTGGAAATTATATTATTTGATCTAATTATCGTCTTTTAATTAAAGAAGAATTTCAGGAACTGAAGCGAGTTATGTTCAAGACCATTTTAACTCAGCATCGTTTTTCATGCCTCAAGTATTATCTTACATGCACTATTGGTGCTATTTTATAGTTTCGATTTTGTGGTTCACCTCAGATTTTTAAATAACTTTATGAACTTCCATCATACAAGTTTGTTTTCAAATTCCGTCCTGTTGGTAGGGTAGTAAAACGCCACTGATTCTCTTATTAAAACCGAATTTTTCTTGGATATTTTCATTATTTACGACTTTTCCGTGCCTTAGCCTTACATTTCGATACGGTATCATAAACATTCTTAGCATTGCTTAACTTCTTAACACCATGGAAGCTGATCAAAATAAGCTATGCGAAGGTAGAGGCAATTCATTTCACTTATGAATTGGAAAGTCAGGAAGGGGAGCTCCCAATGTTAGATTGCAACGTAAAAAAGGAAAGAAGATGGGAAATTAAACACTAGTGTTTACAGAAAATCCAC